CTATTATATAAAAGTAACATTCAAAATTAAAAAAAATAATAATTACCTTTTACAGGTGGATTTTATAGTTCCCATAGTTTCAATGACATTCCTGGAACAAATTCACCCCCAACAGCAGGCGCAAGGTACTGCTATGCATATTCGCTACATATATCAACTGATGCAGAATGAATATCAGATGAACTGGTGTTTAAATTTTCGAGTGAGACCAGTAATGCTACCTGAATTTAATAAGCATAACCTGAGGACTCAAGTGCTTCTTTCTTGTGCTTTACGATTATGGAACGAGGTTCCCAAGTTGATTGGTGTATTGAGAAATACAAAAACAAATTTAGAAGAATATTTAGGTAATCTAGTCCTGACTGATTTTATAACTGGATTATCTGGATCCTGGAAAATAATATCAAATGCAAAAACTGTTATTATTTGGTATGTTTTAAATATATTATATTTTCATTATTATGTATCAATTTTATATAATAAAAAACAAAATATTTGTGAAAGAAATAACCAGTATTTGGTAGTACTAATATATTTGGTTTTTAAAAAAACTATTTAATAATAAACTGTTGTACTTATAAGTGAATCTAGCACCCTACCACTCTGAAATCTTGCACCCTATCAACACACATTATTTCATATTTATATAAAATTTAATAAGAAGATGCAAAAGCAATTTTTATTTCTATAATAATAAACATTGAAAAGATACACAATGACAATAAATCTGCACCTGAGAAGACAAAGATTGGAACAAGATGTGAATCAGTACCTCAGATGTGCAGTCAATAATAGCCATATTAAAGAAGTGCATAACCCAAATAATAGATATTCTGGCATCAAGGAGTCTAGAACTATGCAACACACAGTGATCTCACCAAATCAATATACAAAGAAAAGCCACCAATTATTATTGTTTGAATTTCTAGCTGAAAGTGGTCATAGCAAACAATGAAAGCATTTCAAATCATACACAATCATCGCTATATAAATAGTATGAGGCACCTAAGCACACCAGCAAGTCAACGAATCAGTATGTGTAAATTACATTGCTATAAAAAATCAAAGTGCTCAATAATAATCAAAGTGTGTAAAAGAACTAAGTACATGGATTGTATCTATAAGCAATGAATGGCTAGGCATGATGAACATGCAATTAAGTTCTCCACCAGCCAGAGTAGGTCTGGGCATAAAGATGGGAGAACCGGTGACTCCTCCAGCAATGGTAGATCTTGCAATGATAGTTGCATCAGGTAACAGTGGCACCTTGGCACCAGAACAATACCATCGGCCCCAGGAAGGTGTTGCTAATCTGGACAGCTAATGAAAGCGGCCTGTACCTACCTACTCGGGGTAAATTATAGGTGGCCCTTGCACTTAACCTAACCTAACCTACATTTAAGCATTGCCAATTTTTAAAAAGTAACCATGGGTTTTAATTTTGTACAGTCCGCTAAGCACGGAAGCCCTACAATGAAATAAGATTTTTCGTGACCAAATAATGGATATTCTGACTTCTAAAATAGGCCATTTCATTACTTCTTTATGCAAAGCACATTTATTCTTTGGCATATTAATTATTGTAATTTCATTTTTCTTCCACTCGCGTATGGAGCTTTCACCAACACCAAACAGTTTCCATTTTCTTTTCACATATTTTCATATGAATCCTTTCGTATCAATTATTTTATTTCTTATCATATCAAACATTACTGGAGTTTCATCCATATTTCCAATTATGTGACAGTAAATACTTTTTTTGCCTTCGTAGGTCAATAACATACTTCTGGAAACTAATCAATTTATTATCCAAATCTTTCGGAAGCCTTTGCAAAACTTTTGTTTTTTTGTCTTAGAAGTAAATTATTCCTTGCCATAAATCTACTATACCAACTATAAGTACCATAAATCTACTATACCATGAACCATACTACACCATAAATCTACTATACCAACTATAAGTTGCTTTAAAGTTTTTTCTTTCATTTGCATATTTTCCCCCCTCTTTTTAAGGCAAGTAAATGTACACTGTTTCTTATTATAATTAATCCATTCTTTTGATTTTCTAGGACCCAGTTCACAACACTTTCTGCAAGGATAGTCCATTTCATTATTCCTTTAATCAAAGCACATTTATTCTTTGGTATATTAATTATTTAATTATTGGGATTTCATTTTTCTTCCACTTGCATATGAAGCTTTCACCAACACCAAACATTCTTTCTCCAGCACAATTTCCATTTTCTCTTCTCAAATTGAATGACTCTGCATTTGAAAAATGAGCATTTCCCCCCCCCCATTTGGCAGGAGCCATATTTACTGCTAAAGAGAACACTAAATCAACTCTATTTCAACTGAAGCAAATGTGATTTACTAAAGCCTTTGATGTTCATTTCAAAAGCATGGCTTCAAATGACTGGAGAAAGAAAAAAAAAATCTGACTTCTTAATTATGTGAACTGGTTCTGGTTGGAAATGCTTTCTTACTCCAATTTGTGCCCCCTTTTTAAAAAAATTAGAATAAAACTCTTGTGCTCACCTACACTGAATACAAGCCATCCTGCTTGCAGAATTATTTACTCCTTCAAGCATTATTCTTCCACACACATATTATTGTTCCCCTTATCACATCACGTATCAATTCAGTATATTATTGTTTGAATGAGTGACTTCAAAAAATAAGAGCATCACATATGAATATTTCAGGTTTCTTCATAAGAAAAGGGTGCACTTTATATGGAGAATATACCTAAACATTAAAAAAAATAATTTGAAATTATAGGTTTGCATTATACTCTCGATTATATAGTGTATGCTTTTAAATTTTTAGTTCATAAATTCATACATTGACACATAGTTTATTTAGCACAGCATATGTACTGAAAATTTAAGCAGAGTAATAATACAGTGTCAGCAATTAAAATAATTATATATTAGGGGGAAAAGCATTAAATATTAGGTTGTCAAAAGCTTATTAGGTCTGCTTTTATAGCTACTAAGACGGGAGGACTGTGCATAAAGGTAAATAGAGAATGGCCAGTTTGTTAAACCTTCTGGTGTATACTCAAACATTACCACTGAGAACTGCTATAAGCAATTACCAAAACTTAATTTAAGGGGGAAAATACTCTGTTTAGCCAATTGAAAAGGTTTGGTATGTAATATAACAAAAATTCCAATTGCATAGTACAACTGAGGCACAACTATTTCCAATTCTACTAATCTGCTCTTACCCTATAGAGAGTGTATAGCCAGATTCTCAATTGCTTTAAATATTTTAATATTAGTCAATCATGTATGCATGACAAAAATATTTTTTTAAAAGGAAATGACTTACTGAAAAAAGAAATGTAAATATAGATTTCTGTGGAGATTTTAAAGTGTAGATAGGGAAGTACCGGACTCGTCGGAACTTCGAATCATCGCATTGCTTGATCAACAAAGAAGGACAAAAAGATATCAAAAAGACAACAAACAGGAAAAGAAGCAACTTTTCCTTTTTGTTCTTTGCTTCCTAAGAATGCATCATTTTGGGGAGTTGTTGTATGCTGTACCTAATTTATCATTGAGATTGTATTAAATGATCGTTTAAGCATAATGGCAATATAAATCATCTCTCCTTATTTATTTATTAATTACAGTAAAATCGTAATCCGGACTGTCGGGACTTCGATCGATGTAGATCATCCATTTCCATCTGGTAAGATGGCAGCAGAAATTATACAATTAAAATATGAACTGTACTTATGCAATAAAGAGCAATTATGACTAAAGAGTATCAATTTTACAAAAAAAAAAAAAAAAAAAAAAAAAAAAATTAATATTTTTGTTTACTTATTAAAATCCTTCAAGCGTGCATGCTCATGTTGATTCTCTACAAGATGCGTAAAGTTGTGGCTTAGGTCGGATTATGGACTTTGCACTGTACAAATTTTTAGTTTTAACTGATCAGTAAAAACTGTAATTACAATACAGAATGGTTTTTTGTACTAAATATATAGTGACATATATATGTCAAAGAAATTACTGTATGATTTTCAGTTCTGTTATTCTTCATATATTTGCAATCAGACTAAAATTTGTGTGACCAAGTTAGGTCTGATTTTTTTTCAAATTTTAATTTTTATTGGCTTTTTCTAAAAACATTAAATTGTTTATTTATTTATCATCACTTATTATTATTATTTAGTGGCATGAAGCTGTGTTTTAAATTTAAAATTGACAATCTCATTTTTTTATTTAAAGTGTAATAATGAAGACTTCTACTGTCATGGTAAATGTAATTTGAAATCAATTTTTTTTTTCTCACACTGCAAAAAGCTTTCTGAAGTCCAAAAAGTATGAATAACTTATTAACTTTGTTATCAAGTCAAAAAGTATGAGTTAACAACTTCTTAAGACTCTAAAAAAATTTGAATGATATTTAAGTTATGCCTCACTTTATTACATTATGGAAAAGTCTTGGCTTTAGTGTCCAAACTGATTTCTGAGGGCTGTGGAAAATTTCTTGCTTCTATCTTTAAAATATAGCAACAGTTATTCTGCTTTAATGAACCAAATTAATGCCTAGCAAATTCTGATTTTTATCAGGTATCAGAATTCAGATTCATGCATTTCTTACATTTTATTCAGGAAGCACAGCAAAAAAAAAAAAAAGTCCATCTTTGAAAAGATAGTAAAATTTAACAAAGGATTTTATTATGTACAACATCAATGTATTATTCATGTGTATCAAAATGTTAAATATTTTGTGTGCATCCAAATTATTTCTGAATCAATTTTTTAGTTTAAAAAGTACTTTTTATCTAGCCATTTTTTTCATATGTATAGTTATTTTATCAAAATCATATTGCGAGCTTCAGGTATTAACTTGTGTTGAGATGTGACAATTATCTGACTAATTATGTATAAAATTATATTTATAGGAAAAACAATTCATGTGACGAATTGAAAGTGTACAAATAATGAAAATAGGATATGATAAAATTTGTATTTACAGATGCTTTGTCCTGATTAAAATATAAACAAATATTATACATTATTTGAGTCTGTAAATATTTCATAGTAAAAAATCATAGTGAATTGACTATGCAGCAAAATATTAAGTGTTTGTATAAAATATGATATTACTGTATTAAAAAGGAAAATTTGTACATATTTAAAAATAATCTGATCAAAGTAAAAAAGAATACATCAAAGTGAAAAGAATCAGTATAACCATATTTTAAAAATAACATTTGCAGTGTTGTTATGGTTTAGTAGTCGTTATAACTGAATGTAACTTATATATCTGCAATTGTCACAAATTCTAAATATTTAGATAATTTTTTACACATTCAGGAATATTTCAAATTGTTATGTGATGCCTCATTTCCAGAATATGGAGTTTAAATAATGGAAACATGTTATATATATATATGTATGTATGTATGTGTTATGATAATTGTTAGAGATAAAATTGTGTTATAATAATTGTTAGAAATAAATTGATTTTAGATTACAACTATACTTAAACATTCAGAGGACAGAGGGAAAATAACTTTCATTGCAAGAAAATGTCATTTTCAGTTATGGATGTTTCAGACTGCATTCTCATTTAACTGGGATATTGTTTCTAAATCAAAAAAGAATTCATTAGAAAAATAAGCAATTTGATATTCTGACAAACTTATTTTGGTAATGCTGCACTTAGTAACAAAGACTCAATTTTATGGAGTTGGTTCATTAGTGGGATATGGTGATGGTAGAACCAATTTTTTTTTTTGTATGAGGCAAAATGAAAATAAATTGATCACAATGTCTCTTCATTTTTAATTACTCCATAAAATAATATTTGCAAGAAAGTTATGTTTTAGATTTGTAAAGAACCAACAGACCACGCTTTACAAAAAAAGTCGTCAATAGACAGGCTGCTAAAGTAAATTTATGACTGCTAAAGGAAGATTGAACCCTTCAGATCAGTTCACTATGTTATCACTGATGTTTCTGTCTTGGTTGTACCATTAGAAATAAAATTACCACAAAAATAAACTCTTATCAGACATAAAAATGGGGAAGAGATAGTCACATGACTATTGGTATTCATGTGGTAGCCAGCTACCACTTATTCATAAATGTACTCTGCAATTTTTTTATTAATCAGAATTGGGAATTTTAAGTGTAGAGAGAGACCATACTAAGACACAAAATTTAAAGGAACATAGTCTACGAAAATATATTGACATATGTCAAGAATATCAATATTAATAGTTTATCTAATGCTTAAGTCTTACTGGTGATCTCCAGAATGAAGAAATGTGTGTGTGCTTCTCGTTGTAGTATTTGTTCTCTGCAATCATTATTCCTCAGATTTTTTAGGTTTTACCAACTACCATTGACATAATCAGAAATCAAAACTGTCTTTCAAGTGTCCTCTGATTATGTAAATGGGAACTAGGCATCGCTTCACGCCGGAACTGTTGACCTGAAGAATCACAAGTAGTTGTGTAACAGGCTTCACCATTTGTTAATATTTCTTTACTTTTATCCTCTTTCCGGTTCCACACTTTCAGATCAACATTTCTTTGTCTAGCGGGTTGCTGAAAGGGATTAATTTGAGTAAATGTTCCCACTGGATTTTTTCTGATAAATTTTTGTTGATTTAAATATAGTTTACTTTCGTTTTCACTTGGTCTTATAGTCGTTTCATGTTTTGTTATGTCCTCATGTGTTTGCATGTGATAATTTACTGGCACTATTTTTTGCGTATAGCCATATTTAGAGTTTTGTTGTAACTTATGTTTTTGATCTGCATCATTATTAACTGCAGTCTTATTACCAGATCCATAACTATGAAGAAAATTTTCACAATTTCTTAACTGTTGTCTGTCTTGATAGATATTTTCTCCATTTATTCGGCCATAATTGTTGAATGTGTCATTGGCAGATTTTGGAGAATTTCTATTTGCTGAAGCTTTATCTTGCATGTTTCTGTGTTTTTCATATACTAATTGCTTGGATGTTGGATTATTATGTTCTGTATGCATTCTTTCTTGATTGCTGCTTCTATCTTTATCTATTTTTTCTGTTGTTTCCTCTGTACATACATGTGTATTGATGATATTTTTATGTGATACAGCATTTTTGTTAATAACACTATTTGTGTAAATTCTTTCAGAATTTTGAAACTGGTCCATTTCATTTCTTTGGACTTTATTTCTTGGAACATCATTATGGTGAGCTTTAGAATATTTCTGTTGGTAATTTGGTTTATGCTGTGAGTTTACCATATGGCTTTCTTTCACATTGTTCTTATAATGAGAAACTACATCTCCTGTTGTGTGAGTTTGTGGTGTATATCGCCTTCCTTTTATTTTATTAGATAATTCCAGTGAATCCCTTGAAACATCAGATTCATTTCCTTCCTCATTTTCAGTCAATTTCTTAATTTTTGTTTTTGGTGTGCAATTTTTTGGAGGAGGAAGATCTCTACTTTCAGATATGTGTGGCGAGTTGGATGCCAAAATATTATTATTCTTTATGCTGTGATCCAGCTGCCATAGGGCATTGGATGCTTCTGCCATAGTTTTAGCTCTCTTGCCATCCACATGCTCATGTGGATGTGTTTGTGAGTTATTACCATGGTTATTTTCACTTTTCATAGCTGATTTATATATCTCCTGCTTTTGTACTGGTGTATGAGATACCGTATCACTAATCTTTTGTCGATGATTTTCTATTTCAGTTATTTCATCTTCAGATATGCTGGAAGCACTATCACTAGTAGATGTAATGTCTTTAACTATATCGACTTTAACATCTTTATCAGGAGTTCTTCTCTCGTGAATTTTTATATCTTCACTTTCAAGTGTGTCTTCAAACCTTTTCTCCCATTGCAGTCCATTATGAAGGTTGCCATCTGTCATAACATTTGCTAACATTTTTTCGTTTAAAGAACCAGTAATTGATAAAACAACTGAAGGGTTGTGCTCTTTCTTCTCTAGTTTGGAATCTGAATTTTTAAAGTGTGCAGCTAATTTATGAGCAGCAACACCAACACTCTGGGAGCGCCTAGGTCCAAGACCATGGGATGGAAGTGTATCTTTATCTATCTGTGTTAAATCATCTATGCTCTGACTCCTATAAAGTGGGTGAAAGAGTTTTTGCCCACTGTTGTTGAAACTGCACGAACCAAGTCTCTTTGATCCCAGTGGTGTAGTCTGCATAGTTCGGGATGTATCTGGAGTTCTTTCAATTTCAAGTTGCACATCATATGGAGAGGCATAGCTTAAAATTGTTAAGGCATCTTCGTATACTATATTTGTAAATGAGACAGTCACACTAATGATCTTGTCACCTGAAATAATATCAATAAATGTGTATTTTATTTGCATATATACGTAATCATTATAATATATATAAAACTTCTATGAAACAAGTATTTTTTTAAAATTATTACTACAGTCAAAAGTCGTTAATTCGGACACCCATAATCCGGACCTCAAAGCTACAAACTTTCTGCGCATGTGTCGCTTTGACGCATGCGCATAGGCGTTTACGCCTGCGCGTAAGACCTTTACGGCTGCCAATATGGGTGTGCGCAAGCGCATAATACGTTTAATAACGCGTTTAATACGTTTAATATGCGCATTTAATGTATAACGGACGGTATAAACTACGCTAAAATTATCTAATTCAGTTAATGTTGCAGATTGTGTTGTTCCTTAATCTTCAAATTGGATCCGGTTTATATTTTTTGCAGACTGTTAGAGCAATTTTATAAAAGTCAGCTTAACTTTCGATTATGTCAAATAGAATTTCCGATATATATTTACTAATATGTAAAAGATCTACAAAGCGAAAGTATGTTTGAAATCCGAAATCTATTTATCAATTTCACGCTGCTCTGCGGCAAGGGGGGGGAAGAACGTCATTATTAGATATGATCGATTAGAAAGATTATGTCAACTAGAATTCCGATATATATTACTAATATGTAATTTGTACCTACAAAGCGAAAGTATGTTTTGAAATCCGAATTTGTTATCATTTCACGCCGCGGTTGGAAGTTGATCTCTCAGCACTATCCTATCTAGGGCAGATGTTTTTATTTTATTTGGCTTGTAATTCCTTACTGAATGTAGTATTTCATCTGGATGTACACCGTCTTTGATATGATTAAAATCAAGTTCCTCGTCATTATAATTCGCTTCCGATAGTGAAGAAAGTGACAGAGAAGTTATTGAAAACGAAATCATTTCGATTGACAAATTAGTCGGTATTCTCGACACAGCAATTATAGGACTTGAACAGCGGAACTTTGTAACTAAACAAGAAATTATGTCTGTTTAATAGAATTAAATAGAAAGTATTATCACATAAAATGAAGCAACTTAAACAACTTACATTGAAAGAAATGTTTAATAAAGTAAACAAATAAATATTAAGCTTTTTCTTTTTGTAAATTTTGATACCCTTTAGATCATAATTGTTCTTTATTTCATAAATTACGGTTTCATATTTTTAATTTTGTAATTTCTGCATGCCATCTTACCAGATTTAAACTGATGATCTATAATCCGGAATCGCCGAAGTCCCGACGAGTCCGGATTAACGACTTTTGACTGTATAGAACTTTCTTGATGAATACTCTTTCTAACGTAAAACTGTTCTTTTTCTAATTAAATTTTGTATTCTATAAATAGCTGTAACCATCAACACAAAAAGATGAATACATGTAAAAAATCACATAAGTAGTTTTTAGAAAAATAGCTCTCAAAATTTTAGCTCCTCGGTGTAAATTGAATTTGGTACAATATTTATTAATATTTCCTTTGTTTTTTAAACTTAATGGAATTCCTTCTTCACAGGTCGAAATTTAGTTTCAATCCAAATAAAATTCGCAGCTATTTTCTGATTTGTTTTTAAAATTTGTATTTTTTAGTAATTTTTATAAATTTTTCGCGAAAAATCTTGAACTATAAGCCATAAAATGTTTGCCATCATCTTAAAATGGATATATTTCTAGGCATATCTGCAAAAAAAATTACAATTTGTTATTTAAAATTTCCGAAGATATACTTAAATTTATATACTGGCACGTTTTGAAATTTTGCATCTTTGTTATAAGCAATAATAATGCCATGATTTGCACTTTGTTAAAATTATTTGAAAGAATGAACAATGCATCTTCTATTCCGCTCATGTACAGTGGAAATGAAAATTGGTTATCATAAATTAAGAATTTCGCCAAAGGAATCAAACTGAAAAAAGTGCAACAAGACAAATCTTCTTGTTGACTAATGCTCACTTGTCTGACCTATAGTCAGCCCAATCCCACGATATTCCTCTTGGCAAGGAGTGCTATACTTGTCTTGGCAACAGCCTTGAGCACCTTACAGGTGACTAGGCGATTTAGCTCAGTTCCACCCCCATTTGATGCAGAGCACCCCATGAGGATGGAATCCATTTTACCCTACCACTAACCTCTCGGGATGACTTTCGGCTTGCCGCTTATTTAGAGTGCCTCCGTGCTGCATGGAGACTATACATTTACAAACATCCATACCTTCTTCGGGATTCAAATTCAGGTGACGCTAACCACTATACTCGCTGGGAGGCAGACAAATCTTAAAATTTCTCGGAGTTTTCATCAAATTTTATAAAATTTAATATTTAGGTATAATTTGAGACATAGAATCAAATTATGAAAAAAATAGTTATATCTTTAAAGGAAAAGTTTGATTTTGTGTCTAAATACCTATGTTAGAACAGTGCTATATATAAATTTAATAAAGATCCTAAGTCGCATTTTCAAGACCTGAAAAATGCAAGTTAAATTTCATTAATCGGCCCAGTAGGGTGGAAGATATAGAACCTTTTTTCTTTTCTTTTTTGTTTTCAAGGTGTACATATCAACTACATCAAAACATTGCTGCCAATGAGCACTGAGGTACAGTAATAAATGCTGAAAATGTACAAGGTGTTTGTTTTTAAACGGACACTACTCAGAGCCATCTATTGCTCGATCTATTAGCTGAAATGCCACAAATTTGCTAGGAGGACTAATTAACAAAAAAAGAGGGGAAAACATCAAAGGAAATTCTAGATGTTAGATGGGTTCAACATGTGTCTTACTGTAACTCAGTGCACATTACTTATAAAGCTGCTTTATCTTCAACAGTTGAATGCAGCCACCACTCTTTGTGAGTTTAGCAGTTGTAACAACATGTGTAAAGGCCCTCTATCAATTAGTGCTTTAAAAGGCACAATTCAAAATTTGAAGAAACAGATCCTTAGCTGTTCAATCTGGTAGAGGGTGTCGGAACGGACAGTTACTGATGTCATGACTTCAGTTGTTGACAGGACAGGATCCAGAAGTTATAACACAACAATTATAAATGGGTGTCATTTGCTCTGACATTTCTTGCCAGTATGGAAGGCTATCATACTTAGGCCACGAAGAATTCTCTGGAGAGATGAGGCCCATTTTCACTGAAATGAAGACCACAGACCTGTACATCATGTAAAGGTAGCATGACATGCTGATTAATTTTGTCATTTCACAACTTCAATAGAGACAGTTGCTGGATCAGGTAACCTTTATGCACGATGGAGCACCACCACACTATTGGTCTATCAGTACGGCTCCTGTCGCACCATCACCTTATGGATGAAAGGGTTATAAGTCACTTTTTCCCACTTGCATGGCTGTTTGTCTTCTCGGATCTAACCCCATGTGACTTTTCCTGTGGGATTATTTGTAGTCTAAGGCCTATCTTTTTGGGGTCCCTATCTTCATAACTTTAAAGAACAACAGGGCTGTGCTGAACATACCTGATGAATTGTTACACAGCCATCAAAAATGTTGTATACAAGATGCAATGTGTGGTCCACATGAAGGGTGGTCACACTGAAAGAAATCTATGCCCTCACCAAGGAAGTGCTTTAACCAAGCTATTATAGTACTCTCAAATACCATTGGAGCATTCATTAAAGCAATGATGCATTGAAGTTTCTTCTTTGTTATTCATTTATCTAACTCTCAGGTGTTTATACTACAACTATGCCTAATTTTCTCCAATTTGGCAACTTTTGAAACTAATTCTTTTCATGGAATCTTTTTTTTTTCTCATGTCATTAGTCACCCTATCCAATCAGCTGATAGATTGAGCTACAGGCTCTGAGTAGTGTAATTTTTTTTATTTTTAAATCTTGTAGGAACAATGATGCTGTCACAATTATGCATTACTGCGGATTTTGAAGTCACTGCAAAGGATGATTAGGATCTTATTTTGTAATGTTGATGCGCTGAAGTTCTGAATTGAAGTAGGAACACCGTTTTATGTCCAAGTCCTTATGTATCTTTCTCTTAATACCATGTGAATTTTTGTAATCAATAAACTCGATTTTGTTACTAAACTAAGAGCAAAAATGTTCTTTTGAAGCCTGTTCTAATCTACTAGCTTCAAAAGCCTTTCTAAGAAATACCATTTTGAAAAGTTCAAATTATATGATATTATTATTATCTAAATTATCATACTTTTTAAGTATTGTTATATAAATGTTAAAACCATTATAAATGTTATTTATGGAAATATTTTGATATTATGAAATGATATTGATATATGATTTTATGAAACACCATTAGTATCAATTTAACCTAAAAGGAAACTAAATAAAGTTTTAAGCATATATTGCTACAGTCTGCACTTATGAAGACCACAAGATGTAAGTTTGAGGGAAATTACAGATCATAAACATCTGAAAAACATTTCATTGAAGAGTTAGAAGAATTAGCTTACAGTTATGTCAAAAGGAAGTGCTGAAGTACATCCTGCACATAAAACAAAACTAAGGTTCAGCACATCCTTTATATAGAATATGCTGATTAGCTTTTTGAACTTTAATGAGACTGACATTGATGAGGAAAAGTAGTTTACTTTAGAAAGTATTATGGATCTATGATGCTTTTAAAAAGAAGGAATCATGGTATGTCATGTATTTTTTCCTCATAATAGCATAATGACCTTCAACCACATAGAGAACTGATTAATTATTTTATTGCATTTTAAAAGAGTATAAACTGTATTTTAACTTTCTTTTTTAACTGGGCCCACCAGCGGCCGAGTGGTAAAGTCGCTGAACACTGATAGTTTGGTCCAAGGTTTGAATCCCACGAGCGGGCTGGCTGCATGGGTGTTTTCGTGGTTTTCCCCATGTGTAACGTGTATACGAGCCAGTTTCCCTTAGAAAGTCCTCCATGAATGCATACCTCCCCTTAGGCAGATAGAGCTCGAGGCTTTGCCATAATTAAATAACCTAACCTAACCTCTTCTTTAACTATATATATTTTTT